TTTAGAAAGAACAAATTGCATGCAAGGTAGCAAACAAAATGTGTGTGTGTGTGTGTGTATGTGAGAAACAAGTGAATAAAAGAATGAAGGGATTATTTTTTCTGTCACATTTCTTATGAACAAGAAAGCAAATATTTTAAATAGGCCTGTGATCTGATGGTCAAAATATTTGTTGGACCTATCCAAAAGAAATGTATATGGGCATGAATTAATCATTGTATATACAAGATGAACAGCTGAGCATGTGTGCAGCGTATATTATATTTATATATAGAAAAAACCCCATAACTGTCCTCAATATTTTGGGGGATATAAGATAAAGGGAGCTAATCTTGCACATACTGGTCACAGGATTAAATTCAAATTACACTTTGAATTTCTGACCCCAAATTGTCACTATCCAACAGCCATTTTACAATCTGAGAAAAAGAATTTAAGGTCAATTTTTCAATGTGTGTGTTTGTGTGTGCTTTAAACTTTAAGTAATTAGCAATGTGCTTTTTTAATGTAGAAGGACTACTTTCATGCAAATCTTTGGAATTTGACTTACATAATAAACCAATATAACAACAACAAGAAAAAAACCCTAGCCAGGCTCCTAGATAAATAGGGAAGAGTCACAGAGCTACAAGCTGATATTGTCAATATCTACAACATTGATTTATAAGAAAGGGGGTTTTAATTGCTTCACTGACATTGATTGCAGTGATAGCTTCAAAGAAAAATGAAGAGAACACCGTGTCCTTGTAGTATCACTCCGAGTCAGTCAGCCCCAATTCATATTGAATGGAGTCATTCTGTTTATTAGGTTTCTATGCTTCTACGTGGGGAAAAGAACAGTTTTCTTAAAACACTGATCATTGGCAAAGATTTACATACATTTCTAAGAGATCAAAATGTGAAGAAAGTACAAATTTGAAATTCACAGTTAAGACTGTAAGAACTGGTGACAGGTTGTAATTTTTTAAATGTTCAAATTTAAAAGGAAGTGGAAAAAAGAAAAGGATAGTTCATGGATAAAAATGTTGATAGTAAAATACTTGTCCAGTCCTGAGTCTGCCATCTACTTACTGACCTCTGGTCAGAGAAGATTTACTCTGGTTTAACAATTGGGAGTTCAATGGCTTAGTTTTAATAATAATGATTACACAGTAATAATAGTAACATGAACAGTGATAACTAAAATTTATCAAGCGTTTACTATGGTCTCTCCTTTGTGGTCTATAATTCTTCCACAGAACCATGTAAAGTAGATACTGTTATTATACCATTTTAAGGAAACACCTTAGTGGTAAATCACAGCAATGTCTACTCTTAAAGAATTGGCCACATCTGTGCCCAGATGGATAGAAATAGGTTCTGGAAAGAGTAGGCAGGACCCTGAAAGATTTTGACACAGTAGCCTCCCTTTCTTGAATCATAAACTGAAGATAATTCAGAGGTAAATAATTCAAACTGCTTGTTTTTTTCAAAACACTTTTGCAGTTAAATTGATAAGACATTTTATTGTGGCTCTTCACATTTTCTAAGCTACTTTTGCTACAGTCCATCAGTATTTCTTATTTATAACCTTTGAGGTAGATGAATATTGCTATCGTTACATAGAAGAAAGTGCTCCTTGATGACTAAGTTACGGTGTCAGAATGCCTGAGTTTATATCCTAATTTATTCACTGACTGACTAGTTATGTACACTTAAACAAGTTATTTGCACCCCATAATTTTCTTACTATAAAAATAATAATGAAAGTGACCACATCATGGGTTTGGTATGAGGATTAAGTGGAATAATAATACTATTAAGACATGTTGAACATAATAAGAGATCAATGTGTGTTAGCTCTTATTAAATCTATTTTACATTTGAACAACCTGAGGCACAGAGGCCAAAGTCATAGTGAATGTCATACTAAGAATTCATAACTATTAATTTTTAGTTCAACATTGTTGTTCTTCCTCGCTTCTCATGACAGTTGTCCTCAAACTTGACTTGTGATTCTCAAAGCAAATCAAGGAATCACTTCAAAGATCCTTAAGTTCATTTCACATAGTAACAATAACAATAATAATAGCACCTAGACCAGGCATGGTGGCTTATGCTTGTAATTCCAGCACTACAAGAGGCTGAGGTGGGAGGTTAGTTTGAAACCAGGAATTTGAGACTAGCCTGAACTAACTTAAAAAATTAGCTGAACATGATGGCATATGACTGTAGCTCCAGCTACTCAGGAGGCTGATGCAGGAGGACTGGCTTAAGCCCAAGAGCCAAAGGCTGTGGTGATCATGCTTTTGCACTCCGGTCTGGGTAACAGAGTGAGACTCTGACTCAAATACAATACCATACCATGCCATGCCATGCCATGCCATGCCATGCCATGCCATGCCATGCCATACCATACCATACAATAGAACATAAAATCACTAACATTTATTGAACACTATGTGTTAATCACTGTGCTAAATCTCTTACACATATTACATCATTTAAACCTCAAAATCCTATTAGAGAAATGTTATTACTTTTTCTCTTTACCGTTGAGGAAAGTAAAACAAATAAGTGGTCAAGTAACTGCCAAAGGACACACAGCTAATAAGTTCTCCAGACAGGAACCAAATTCAGTGCTGGGATTACAGGCATGAGTCACCGTACCTGAACTAGGTGCTATTATTATTATTGTTGTTATTGTTATTATGTGAGATGAATTTAAGAATTCTTGAAAAGATTCCTTGACTTGCTTGGAGTCAACTGTCATGAGAAGTGGGGAGGAACAGCAATGTTGAACTAAAAGTCATAGTTATGAATTCTTAGTATAAAACAAATTCAATGTTCAAGTGTTAACCATTCTTCTTCATCTAATGATGGAATAAGCAAGCTGACAGTGTCTTATTGCTAGAGTTCATCATCCTTAAAAGTTGGACATATTGCTTTCCTCCATCTTACAATCAAAGATCCCTGAATGCAATGCGGTTTTGTAAGCATACACTCACACATGTGTAAAACACTGGCTAATTTAAGGAACCTATGTGCTCTATTTGTGTCTGGAGCCTGTAAGATAAACTAGCCCCACATACCCAACAGAGTCTCATTAAATGAAATTATTGTCTTTTGTGTCTAAAATTAGAATGTGCCCCTCAATTAGGGTGTTAAATTGTCATTTTCTTTGATTTTATGTTTTCTTTAGGCATTATATTTTTGAATTTCATTAAATATATATAATTCATGCTTCTCCATTTTGCCTTCAATTTGTAATTTCAAGAAATAGAATACCTTATATCAACCTCACAGCATTATGTAAATGCAGACTGTATTTAGTGATAGCTAAGATCCAGATACTAAGATCGTATGCTTTATTGTTTAAGTTTACTTACTTTAAAAAATATATAAAACATTCCTATGGTTCAGAGACTTTAAAGATATCAAAAATATTAACTTGCCGGACTCGGTGGCTCAGCCTGTAATCCCACGCCTTTGGGAGGCTGAGGTGAGTAGATTGCCTGAGCCTGCAAGTTCGAGACCCGCCTGGGCAGCGAGACCTCATCTCTACAATAAATCAAAAAATCAGCCGGGCGTGGTAGCGCATGCCTGTAATTCCGGCTACTCGGAAGGCTGAGGCGGAAGGATCGCCGGAGCACAGCAGGCGAGGCTGCAGTGGCCGGGAGCGGCCACTGCACTCCAGTCCAGGTGACAGAGTGAGACTCCAACTCAAAAAAAAAAAAAAATTAACTTAATGAAGAATCTTACCTCCTTCCTATCTTCTAGCCATACAATCCACCTTCCCTTCTCACAAACAACATGTATTAGGCTCTTGTTTATCTTTCTAAATGCATCTACATACATGTAATAAAATACATTTATATATACATGCATATATATATCCTTTCTGTCTACTTAATACATTGCACAGTAGTAGCATATTTCACGTGGCATATTGTATCATGTTTTATTAATGAGATTGTTCCCTATTGGTACTAAAGTGTTTCTCATTTTTATTTTGTAGAGACATATTTTACCTTATGAATGAACCATAATTTTTAAGCAGTACCCTATTAATGGCCATTAGACGGCTCCCAGTCTTATGTTATTAAAAGTAACGCTGCAATGATAATCTTGCATATACATCGATGTACACACGTGAGAGCATGTCATTTCAGTGACCAAAATTCCTAGATGTGGAAGCCTGGGAAAAAGAGTATGTGTGTTTGTAATTTTGATAACTACCACCAAAGTTCTTCCAAAGGAGTTTTTCCCATTTATAATTATTATTAAATGATGCAAATTTCTGTATCTGGTTTTTCATTGATACTGGGGGAATGTTAGCATTTATGTTCATGCTTAAATAAGCTACACATGGCACATTCTGGTGATGTTGATAGGTTGCTCAGCACCAAAGTTAAACAATATAACCCCTAGTGTAAAAATAATGCATTGTCTATTAAAGCATTAACCATGAAAAAGAAATGTTTTAACAGTTGCCTTTATTCTAAAACAGTAAATATATACTCAAAAATTCAAAAGTAGTACTCAAAGTAGTTCTTGGAAGATAAGTTTTAATCATCATAGAAGATCATATTTTTCAATTGTAGGAAAATCTCGTTGACTTAAATAATTTTATATCTAAAGAATTGTTACGGTTTATATGTAATTGACAAAGCAACTTAATAGCAATTTTTGTAAATGGCAGAGTCTTTGACAAAAATTCTGTAAAATCACTGCTATGCTTCTTGAAAACTTATCACATGGCCCGATTTCTATACAAACTTTATGCAGTGTAATTTGTTCAACAGCTCTCTAAGGTTAATGGTGTTAATGCAAATTTAGGGACCATAAAACTAACTAGCTAGCTCAAAGTAACACAACAAATACCTGTAGGTAAGTAAATAGTTTAAAATTTCCCACAACTAGTCACACATTAAGTAGACAAAACACATTGTTGAATGCATGAATGAAACATACAATAGATGTACAATTTACACCATAGCTACCTAAAGTAAATGACTTACCTCAAAAACAAATGACAAGGACGGAACAAGAGGCTTCAGGTGACCAATTCTGTACAGCATTAGAAACACCAAGCAACGAAGAGTTTCCATAATAGCAGCCTTGGATCTAAAATAAAACATCATTAACGTGCAATAGCTTTAAATATGCCCTTCCTTCACACGTTTCCATGCTATCATTAATACAATGATAAACTTTTTATTTTCAAGAAATACATAGTATTTTAATCTATTTGACAAGTGTGTCCCTCTAAAGTTATTTGAAAATGCATTAAACTAAGAAAGAAAATGCATTTTTATGTTAAAAGAAAACCTGTTCTTTATCAATTTCTTTCTTAGCTTGAGCATTGATGAGTTAGGGTAAAGTTTATTTTCAGCTAACAAATAAAATGCTAGACAATTAAATTTCTAGGATTGACAGTAATTCAGACACCTCTCTGTGACTCAATGCCTGTATACTTAATTCAATAAAAAATGACGTGTAGCCGGGCTCGGTGGCTCAGCCTGTAATCCCGTGCCTTTGGGAGGCTGAGGTGAGTAGACTGCCTGAGCCCGCGGGTTCGAGACCCGCCTGGGCAGCGAGACCTCATCCCTACAATAAATAAAAAAATCAACCGGGCGTGGTAGAACATGCCTGTAATTCCAGCTACTCGGAAGGCTGAGGTGGAAGGATTGCTGGAGCCCAGCAGGCGAGGCAACCGAGTGAGACTCCAACTCAAAAAAAAAAAAAAAAAAATATGACATGTTAGGAGAACTGATAGAGTTAATTCTAAAGTTATGAGTCAAATGCCGATGTTTCATATTTATTTTTAAAATTGCACTATAAAATTGTATAATTTACTGATATTTTATCACTCTGTGGAAAATTCTTAAATTGGGTAAAAGAGGAAAAAAAATAAGAATTTCACTTCTTGCCTTTGATCCAGAAGAAATCCAATGGAAGTCAAGGTCAGTATAATGAAACAAACTCTCAGAAGGAGGGTTACTTGTGACAATGCCTGTAAAACAAACACAGAAATCAATGGATTCTTTAGAAGAGTTATTAGAAGGAACATCAGCAGTTAAAGCTGACAAGCGAACAACACAAATTTTATTTTTTATCACACCATTTGTCACTGACTTTTTTTCAGAAAGTTTGACTATGTAGGGAACATTTTGTTTTTCCTGTTATCATTTAGCTACCTTGTTGGACACTTGGAGAATAAGGTAGACAATTTTATAAACAGCATTTTGCTTATAGTGTTTTTTATAAAAATATTTCTTTAAAGTTTTAACTTTTATAATTCTTTCAAGTATGTGAGCCCCCACGTATGAAGAAATCGCTCATAGTTTTAGGAATAAATACTATATTCTAATAGCTATTTTTATTATCACCAAATCTTTGTAGTTTCAGATGCAAAGCTTTCTTTATATAAAAAATATTTAAAGGAGATTGTGAGTGCAAACACATAGTATTCAAAAGAGATTACACATATTCACACTCATATCTGATGAAATCTATATGTTCATACATATATGTCAAAAGTCACCTTTTGAATCATTTCAACAAAAACCATATTTTTAGTTAGAATTATAAATTAATTATGCATTTTTATTTTACATGTCAAAATCTAATAATAATTTTTATTAAACATCTACTATTTTACAACTCCCATACTATATGTTACTTACATTTTAATTTGTTTTATATTCCCAACAACCTGGCAGAGTTTGTGCCGAAAAACTATAGTATGATTGCAAATACTCTCTAAAAACATAGAATCATGTAAAACTATAGGCTGTGTAACCATGGGCATATTATTTTATATTTCTAAGGCTTTGTGGTATGTTTATAACATTTGAAATAAAATATGAGTATGGCACAGACTGTAATAAAACACTTAGAAGAGTGTTTGATGCAAAGTAAAAAGTCAACTAATGGTCATGATCAATATTATTGTTATTATATTCAGGTGCGTAGGCTAACCTTGATTAATTACAATAAAATAAAGAAAGGAGAGGTATAAAGGGAAGTTCTATTAGCTCTTCCGAATATCATAGAAAAATTAGAGACAAGATCAATCTATCTATCTATCTATCTATCTATCTATCTATCTATCCACATATACATATACTTTTATTTTATTTTTGCTTTGGTTAGGAAATTTATGATCTCTGAACAAAAAAAGAGCTTCTCTTTCCCAATTTTCATTCTGATTACTGGGATCAGAGTGGAAACCACCTTAATCCAGGAACCCAGCTACCTAGTCAACACCTCTATTTGGGCTAACAGACATCTGACCTTTGGCATGGCTAAAACACTGCCTTTGAAATTCTTCTCGATGCCACACGCTGCCCAGTTTTTTTCATCCTAGAAAGTGGAGTCTCCTGTTTCATAACTGCTCAAGACAAAACCCCATGACTGGTCCTGACTCTCTGTCTACTTCTAATACATCAGAGATAAATGTCAGCAGTACATTTAAAATATATCACAATAAAAGCATTTGTGATAAACAGTGCAATGAATACTCTGTTCCACTCGACAGGATCTCCACCACAATTTTTGAAACATCCTCCCAACTGGTTTTCCTACTTCGAAAATTGCCTATCTATCATGGCCCCCACCCACAGTTTGAAGTTATACTTTTAAATCAAAAGGAAAATCACATCACTCATATTCTAAGTCCTCCAGGGCTCATTCAGAATAAAGCTCAGTGCCACTGCTCTGACCTGTACACAATAGCCCAATATTCCCTTGTAACATTTTTTTTCTTTTACTCTTAAAAAATATCAGAAATTTTGCTGTTCCTGGGACATGACAAGCATTTCCCCACTCAAGTCTGTTTCATCTACTATTGCTTCTGCTTGGAATGACTTACCCCAGTGACCTTTATGTTTGTTTCATTCAGGTCGTTATTCAAATCCATGCCCTTGTCCATCCTGTATAAAACAGTACTTCTTTATAATTCCCAATAACCATTTCTGTCTTATTGTTCTCCACATGACTTAACACTTCATATACTTAGACAGTTGTTTTTGTGTATTCTCTGTTTGTTGTCTGTCATTTCTTACTAGAATGTAAGCTCCATAAAAGTTTCTATCTCTGTATTTATTTCCATATCCCAAAGTGCCTAGAACATTGCCTGGCACACAGTTAGTGTTCAATATATGACTAATAATGAATATTTTATATTATATGTGTATTTTAATATTAATACCTTTCTTTTTTTTTTTGAGTTGGAATCTCACTCTATCGCCCAGACTGGAGTGCAGTGGCACACTCATGGCCACCACAGTGTCAACCAACTGGGCTCTGGAGATCCTTTGGCCTCAGCCTTCCAAGTAGCTGGATCTACAGGCGCACACTACCATGCCTGGCTAATTTTTTATTTAGTGTAGAGGTAAGGTCTCACCAAGCTGCCAGGGCTGGACTCAAACCCTTGGGCTCAGGGAATTCACTTGCCTCAGCCTCCCAAAAAGCTGGGATTACAGGCTGAGCCACCAAACCCAGTCAATATTAATACCTTTAATGTTAATGCGTTTAATTACATTATTAATTAATTAATAATTATATATTATATTAAATATACAAAATTTTAATTTCTTAAGCTTTAAAGTAAATTCAATGACATTAATAACTTAGCATTACATAATTAAATGTTTCCAAATGTTAAACATTAAAAATATTAAATACTTTATTATTTATTTATCTAATTCCTTAAAAAGTAGAATTGTTCTAAGTTCTAAGGAAACTAAGAGTACTGAAAATGAGAATTCAGTAAAAAACATAAATGCTTCCTTAGAGTTCACTTTCCTGTGGAACTCTTAAGTTTTTCCATATAGCAACTGCTGATGGCTAAGAAGACATATAATCAATTAATCTTCTCTAAATTCTGCACATTCATTCCATGAATATGTATTGAGCATGTGCTGGGGATTTTACTACATATGAGTTTGAGAGAGAGAGCAGGAAGAACAAAATCCCTGACCTCAAATTCATGCTACCTTAATCCCTACCAAGAAGATGATAGGCCAGAGCAAAAAAAGGAACAAATAGAATTGATAAACTTAGACCACTATAAATATTTAGTCTCCTGTGTTTTAAATAATACGTAAAATCACACATAACTTAATTTTTTATGACGGGAAATACTTTATTTTTATTGGATTTACTCCCACATCATATCATCCATTACTGGTATATCTCTCACATAAAATATTTCTGTCCTAACTTGCTAAAATGGAATTATCTTAAATCAACATTTGGATGAATTATCAGTCCTTATCACAAAAAGCATATGAGGAAGGTCATAACAATAAAAAACTTTAGAAACAAGGAATTATTTTTCTTCCTTTAAAATTATCTTTCAAATCTCAACACATCAGTAGCTTTTATTTCCATAGATTTCCCAGTGCAAGAATCATGGTTCAGACTTGCAACCTCAAGTGTGGCTGAAGAAAATAACCTGCTAAAACTTTCTTTACATAAGTAGAAAAAAAATATACCCAAGAAGAGATATTGACTACACAGGAACTAGCTGTAGAATTACATGTCTGACTCAATGTTGCTTAAGTAATCAATAAACTTAAAAATCCTTATTTTCCTCATAGGTATTATAAAGAAGAGGGCCAGGCTCAATGGCTCATGCCTGTGATCCCAATGCTTGGAAGGCAGAGGCAGGAATATATCTTGAACCCAGGAGTTTGAGAGCAGCCCAGCCTGGGCAACACAGTGAAAACTTGTTGCTACAAAAAAGTTTTTTTAAAAAAATTAACCAGGCTGCTCTCAAACTCCTGGTTTCAAGCTATACTCCTGCCTCTGCCTTCCAAAGCGCTGGGATTACAGGCATACGCCACTAAACCTGACTCTCTTCTTTATAATACCTATGAGCAAAATGGTGGCATGCACCTGTAATCCCAGCTACTTGGGATAAGACAGGAGGTTTGCTCAAGCCCAGGAGTTAGAGGCTATGTTGAGTCATTATTGTGCCACTGCACTTGAGCTTAGGCAACAGAGTGAGACCCTGACTCAAAAAAAAAGGATGGTCGGGCGCGGTGGCTCAGCTTGTAATCCTAGCACTTTGGGAGGCCAAGGTGGATTTCCTGAGCCCAGGGGGTTCGATTCCTTCCTGGGCAACTTGGTGAGACCTCGTCTCTACAATAAAAATCACAAAAACTAGCCAGGCGTTTTGGTATGCATCTGTAGTTCCAGCTACTTGGAAGGCTGACGTGGAAGGATCATGTGAACCCAGCAGGTCAAGGCTGTGATGGCCGTGAACATGACACTGCACTCCAGCCTGGGCGACAAGAGTGAGACTCCAACTCAAAAAAGAAAAAAAAAAGAAGAAGGAAGAGGAGGAGAAGAAAAAGAAGGAGGATGAGGAGGAGGACAAGGAGAAGGAGGAGGAGAAAACTGTCACTCTCTTACCCTTCATAAAATTATGCTTCTATATAAAATAATTATTTATGAAAAAAACTTTATGGATTGTCAAAGATAATTTGATAAAATTTTCTGTCATTTTATTATAAGAATTTAGGAATTAAAATATCTAGATTTTGTTATTATAACAAGGTGGTACATTATAAGTAGTTTCTCTAAAATGTCTGACATGAACTTACTAAAGTTATTATGTTGATTTGAAATGCTCATTTTCCTCAACATCTGTAAAGTGAGGTTAATACTGCCTGACACTCAAACGTCTATAGCCTCTAAGGTGAAGGCAGAATCAAGTTTTCTGACACACCCACACTGCCACCCTCATTATCTCTATGACTCTAATGACTCCACCTTCAAATGATATGAGCTTGTGGACTGGCCCTGCTTAAGCCTAATACAATGTGTTTCTGTGTTACAAAGTAAACACAGTAGCGGAACGAAATAAGACACCATAATGCAATTTATCATTATATGTGGGTCTCAAGAATCTTTCTTGAAATAAGATCTTGATTTTTAAGAGAATGTCAATGTTGGCTGTCTTGGTTTTTTGTTTTGTTTTTGTTTTCTAAATTTTTAGAGCTT